AAACGTCCCGGCGCACGATCGTCGCTCTTGTTTTTCGGGATCGTTCACTTATGGGCTTTCGGACGGACAGGCTAAAAACCTGACGCATTCGCGTCTTGACGAATATCGGAACGAGCGAGCGAACGTTCTCTCGGTGGTTGTGTGAGAGCCGTCGGCTGCGGTCGGGATTATTCTCAACTAAATCTCGGCAGAGAGACCGAGCAGGTGCGAAGGATCTGGACTCGCTGGCTCCTCAGAGTGACACTGGGAGCCGGCGCGATCGCGAGCATGCTCCTGTACGAGTTCTCGAGCGACGCTATCAAGTGATCTTTCCGTGTGCATCATCATGAGCATCCGCAGCGATTGCAAGAACATCACCACGTGGTTCTACGCAGTTGCTTAGACCGCGGCTATCGGAGTCGCGTCCGTGAGAGTCGGGCCGTTCGATCGGCCGATCTCTTTTGGAGATCCATTCTCAGAGTGAGCCTGTTGGCAAGAGGAGGCTCGCATAACGAGCGCAGGAAGTGTTTTCGCTCTTTTCTCTGTCTGGACAGCCAATCGAATGCTCGAAAATGGTGATCACCCTTCGACGGCGGAGATTCAACAGCGAAGGCAGCGCTTCGAGCTCGCTGTCATCCATTTTGGGCTTCGATGTCGGTAAGCAGGACGCTCTCGTCAGACGGTCCTGGGACCACATCAACGTTCCTTTTGCGGTCCCTCGATGATGTGGTCAGCAATTAGCGCGCTGTATAAGCTATCCTCGGTCTGGGAGGGATTCGGGGGGCAGGGACAGGTGGGCTTGGATCGGTGAAATTCTCTCGCACGGGCTCTCGCCCAGATCCCCCTTATTGGACGCCAGCGCTTCGTGAGGCTCTTGTGGAAACTCTGGATCTCGGTCGCTCCCTGGCGCGTAAGATGAAAGCTGAACCATCCGAATAATTCATGGTACGAATATCGGATCTCGAGCGGAATCTTGATGCCTCGCAAATCAGAGAGCTGATCCCCCGATGTCAGGTGTCGCACCTTCAATCGATCTGCATGAAGCGATCTGCTTTGCGCCGAATCGCTTCCGGGCAGAATTATCGGAATTGATCCGCAATTGATCGATTGGCTTCGAGGAATTGATTCGCTCGGCGAGTTTTCCTCCCGTGGATTCAACCGAACCGCCGGGGGCCCGACGGACCTAATTGTAAGCTGCCGAGGTTAAACGCAAGATTTTAATCGGCCGAAACCGGTTTCGGCCGGGAATTGACCCGGGGAAAAGAAAATCCCCTCGCTTTTCGTCGAGTTTCTGGAAACAGGAGTACGGAATGTGCTGTCGACGCTACGGGGTCTCCGCTCCCGCGTGCTTGGAAGAGACCCTCGTTTCTTACCGCATGGGTGACTCGTTCATCGAGACAACATCCGCCGGAAGCGTCCATTCACTCTATCCGCTACCGCGCGGTGGAAAGCTCATACAAGGATATCGGTCTGCTACGACCTTTCGTCAGACTACGGCTTATCATATAGAGCTCGCTCGATTCCGGTTGAATATCACGATACATACATTATCCCCTCCACGGGAGGATGGGATGATTATTCGAGGGAATGCAGCCTCCGTTTCGAGGTATCTGTTTTTCTCGTGCTCATCCGATGAGTCTTCCAACATTTTGATCTGCCGTCGACGTACAGCTTGCGCGTAAGTTATTTGTTTCCGACTTGGTCCCGAGAATTACTTGCCCCTAAGCGCTTGACCTCCCCCGGAATCTGAGGGGGACCATCCGATCTCTTCCCGATTAGTTTCCTATGCCGACTTTTCTCTGGAGAGGTGCTCCTAGTCTATTCCTCGGTTAGTGCTCGCCACGAGATTTGTTCAGGTCCGGCTCGGCTTGCGAAACTACCTTGTAAGGTGTGCTTCTTTTTTAGGTTGTTAGCGATCTCCATGATTGAGACGAGTAGTGTGGGTTGACGATATCATTCATTAGTCGGTGTCTGAGGCACACTAGCGCGGCGGCATCGGTCACATGACGACACGACAAGGCGCCCTGTGTTTTCGAACGCTTCGCGAGTCACATGTCAACCAATGTACCACTGACAATTAGACCAAGATTGGTTGCCTCTCCCATTGGTTTTGATCCCCGCGATAGCTCCGAACTCCGAAGGATTTTCTTGATTCCGTCTGATCAAGAAACATTCGGATATTGAGCCCCTAATGAGCTTACGCGGAGCAGCTTGATTCGCTTTCATTGACGGATCAGTCTCCCGATCGGCCCAATTCCTAAACATCACTCCCGGGAGACCTAAGTCCTCCGAGAAAAACTGGGAACTTGTAATTAGATCAGAATAGTATCAGCTGAAGCTAGAAAAGTCACAGCGGGCGGGATAGCCTCTTAGATATTGAGATCGGTCCGGCCGGCGAAAAGTTGGAGAAACGGACTCAGAAAATTCTCTCCGGTGATTGACGAGACCGGACGACGGCGTCTTATCGCTCTATTTTCCGGAGCTCTGAGCCCCTCCGACGCCTGTCACACCGTCAGTCCGTCACGGTGCGCGGGAACCCAGGCTTAGCCGACAAAGATCCGCAAGTGCTTCGAGATCCGAGTAAAGCATGTCTCATGGAGGCGCGGGGGGAACGGGACCGCCTACGAGACAATCGATTGCGGCATATTCTTGTTTCTGAGCCGCAAACACGGTTTATTAGAAATGTCCTCATATCTTGCCCACTGCGAAGTTATCCCGGCGCAGCGGCTTTCGCGAGCACACTCACCTCGAGCTAAGGCCGAGTCTTATCGATAAACAGAAGACAGGAATCTTGAATGATTCTGTTGGTGTCATCCGAAATCCCTAGATATAACCGAATATTCAACGTCATTCCTGCATCTCGAAGTCCGCACGGACATCCCGTTCCATGCCTAGCCTACATAAGCAGTCGATCTTCGTCTTCCGGGTTCATCAACTTTGTTCATTCTCGGAAAATGGAGGTCCCGAAGAAGCCTTCAGAATGACATCGGTCGAGCTCTAGAGCGGCGGTCAAAAAACGTCAATTCGGTCCGAGGCTATGGAAGTATTTTCTTTGGCGTGGCTCAGGGTGTTCACGGCAAAGGTCAGTTCGGCGAGCTCGATGGCCTAGTCGGCTTGTCTGCCGCATGGTTGGCTTGCAGAGTTAGGGCGTCGGCCCGCGTCGCTCGCTCGCTCAGGGAGATCTGGGAATTTTGAGAACTCTCTTCATTCGCTTCATACAACCACTCGGACTGATATTGGTCGACGTGGTTTGCGGTGACCGGGTGTTCTGCTGCGGGGGAAAACAGCGCGGTGACATCCGCTACCCCGCGGGCGTACGTGATTTGTGCGATAAGGAGCGAAGACGAACTACACATTTCCCAATGGCAATGCTTCATCCTCTTTGGCTCTGACTGACACCTCCGCGTCGGAAAGCTCCGAAACTCATTGAGATGGATGGCGGTATTTCCCTTCTGATTTCGTCCCTTCGGGGTAATATCGTAATCTGAGAACTCATTGCTTGCCGAGTCCGAACATGACTCATTCTTCCCCGAGTTCGACCATTTCGTCGTCAACGCTCGGTGCCGGCCGACAGCTCGGAATCGTCGGCGAACGCACTCGCTTCGGGAAAATCTGCGATCTCGAGGTCGCCAAGCCCTCATAAATGCTTCGCAATATAACCATGGCGTCACCCATATATGCTCCACATGTTATTCCATTCTCAGTGATGACCTCGTCCGTCGGCGGAGTATCGCTTGTTATTTTATGCGCCTTATGGTCATCATCTACCACGAGTTCAGATGTGGCTGTGGCGAACATGTTTGCTCAGGACAGATTCTCTTACCCGAAACACGAACCCTCTCCCCGGAGGAATCTCCTGATGGGATTCATTCAAGGCTCACAATCGACCGAGCTCCGCCACACTAGGAGACAGCCGAACACAATGCAACACACATCTGCATGCAAGCTTGCACAGTATGACTTCTCGCCGTACGTGTTTGGCCAGCACAATAAGCTCTGCCCTCGAGGAGCATGCGGATATCTTTCTCCCTCGAAGTTCCTCCAATTGACTGGTGGGATACGAATGGATTTGAGATCTATCTTTGCACGAACGGAGAAAAATAAGGGAAACGTGGCCTGGCGAAATTTTCCGCTAGCTTGGTGATCCTGATGTTCCGGGACCAATGTGTGGAATGCGTCATCGCTCATCACGCTCCCTGAAAATGAGAGACCTTTATTCGGGCGTCCGGGATATCCAGGCGCTTCGGCGGAGCTCACAGAGTGCTCCCCGTCTCATATGACTCTCGGAATGCCTCTACCGGGCGAACTCTTGCATTACGAGCCGGCAGCCATGATCGACGATGCCACGCGATTTCGAGCGGCTGAGCGCTCGACAGATTGTTCGGAGAGGCTTAGAATGAAGTATCGACGATTTAAATCTGCGTTCAGAGCACGACCTTCGCACTGAGGTAGTGGTTGATACACGCACTGCAAACCGTAAACAACTCTGAAATCTAGCTGTCCCAAGTTCCCTGACCACTACAGTCGAACCCGCTCATAAAAAAGCTCCTGGTTATAGAGAACTCCCTCCTAAGTGGGGTTCCCTCGAATAAGAGGTTTTCGTCAGTGAAAGCCGGACATGAGAAAGAGATGGGAGCCAGTCTCTCATACGCGGTTTTCTCTCATACACCGGTCAGCTTACACTTGCTTGCATGGTCTGGCCTTCTCCCGTTGGCAGTGAGATGGTGGTACGAGGGTATTGATTGACCGGCGGATCTTTATCTCACCGAGCAGCAGACTATGCATGTACGCACAATGGTTCATGCATATTGAGATTCACGGGAAGATATTGGGCCGGAGGATATTGATGACATTTCTGCAAAAATCCCCGGCTACGAAGCCGGGGATATCGAGACGACGGAAGACCTTATCGATTCCCGCCGGGAACACTATCACCTACAGCCACGGCCATGAATCCGGTGGATCTCAGACTTCACGAGGTGTAAAGAATTTCATGAACTATTTCCATTCTTCGCTTTCAGGTTCTCTACTTAGACGGCATTCGGTGGATCCCGATCGCAGGCGTAGCGTGAACCGGGATAGAAGTCTGGACGATTCCTTGCACCACACTGCTCTCATCCACAGGGCCCATTCTCACGGTGAGAGTGCGGCTTACCGGTGCGCGTCGGGGGTAAGTTACTGAGAGAGAATCATTCTTCGGGAGAAACGCCGCTTCCTCAGCATATGCGAGAGGATCAGCAAGGAGGAGGGATGCAAAGTTTTGTTTTCTTGCCCGTCATCGTTCCTCCGATGGATCGTCGTCAGCATTTTCAAAGCTGCGGTATCGGGGATGGGACTCCTTCCCTTCGATCACCGTGGTTGGAAAACCGAGCCAGACCTGTACACAATACCGAGACGTTTTTCGATTTCGATTCTACGTTTATACCATACATACATACATGCACACGGCTTGGAGTTCGTTTCGTCGCTTCCGCAGCGAAATCGGAATAAGTCGGAGGCAGATTTTTAGGGATCGAGAGTGGGGTATTATCTATCGTGTGCACGGTTCATCCGGATCCGAACGTCCGACTTCACTACGGTACTGTCGATCCCAGTCAACACCCGTGTGTCGTTTCCTTATTCCCGTGACTCCTTATTCGATGCTTCCGCGGATGCGGTCATGAAAATTGGATTTAAGAGCGCCTTTATCGCGAGTGGTGCTCTGAGCAGCAGATCCATCTAAGATAGTTCCCTCTATCTTTCCCGCCACTTGACTGCTTGACGCGTAATTAATTACGTACTTTTGATAATAATCTTTTCTGGAGAACTTGACTCGCTATGCTCGCAGTTCCAAAAATAAACCACGATCATCTCTCTCCCGCTCTGTACCGCTGATCTCCCTCAGATCCCTTCATGCTTTCGGGACAGGTGGAATCGGGATAAAACGGGAGAAAATTCCGAGAGATAATTACTCTCCGTACCGGCGGAGTTTTCCACTCGTCCAGAATCCTTGGAGCGACTTGGAAGCAATCGGACTTGCTTGAAGGAAAATCCCGCGAACGCGATGGATTGACATTAGCCGATGAAAGATGGAGGACGCATCCGATATAGGCGAACAAGGAAACTTTTTTATCCAGCCGCGATCGGGACGGAGCGTCTGGAAGAAAGAAACGAATCTAAATGTTCGCTGTCTCCGAGATTTCGGCCTTTTCAGCGATTCTGTTCGCTGTCCGGCGTGCGTGTCCGCCTCATCGGAGCGAAATAATTCCTCCTGACACGATGATCCTTCTTACGTCCTTCTGTCCCCTGGGGCGAGGTCTGGCTTGCAGCTTCGGGGCGATTGCTCCCCGCCCTTTTTTCGGTGTGCGTAGGGTCGCACGCGTGAGATATCGACAGAATTGTCCCCGAAAAGTGTGTATCACGAGTGAATTCATTCTCATTATCTCGGCTATCCGGCAGGAGTTTTTCTCTCTCCTTGCTCGTCCGATAGTTCCGGTGGGAGTCGCCGTTAATCCAAAACACACTACATCCGGTACGACCGAGCGAGTGGAACCGCCCTTCTGGACTTCATGGCATCGTCGGTTGATTTCCAACCCCCTGAAGGGCCGACTTGATCCGAAACGTATCGTTCTTGATCCTTCCGCAAGGAGTGCCCCCCGTTTCTGGAATACGACGCTGAAACAATCGCGGACGCGGAGCCGGTAGCGGAGCGATGTACCCAAGCAAGGCTGTATCGGACGTGCGAGGCTGAATCGATCGCTTACGTGACGATCCGGGGACAGAACCATTGCAGAATATTTTCTAGACAGAACTCACCGGAGTATCCGATCGCGAGTAAATGCCAAAGGAAATCCGACAGGTTTGTCCGTCTGTTTATCTGTCTGTTGTTGACAGAGACCACCAGCGGACAGGGATTAATCCCCGATGCGCCGGTTCATGATTATTCGGTGAGATTTATCACGGCCAAGATGTCGAAATCATTCGGATTCCTGGTTGTCTCCTACCGGATGTTTAGGAAATCGATAAGAGAGCTATCGTGAAGCAGCAGGAGCATAAATCACATCGAGAGCAGTGGATTTCGCAGTTAAAGTAGGACTGCGAGCCGCTCATCTGCTGCGTGTAATCGTAAACTCTGACGGAATCTGAAATCGACTCCGGAGTCATCCGAGCGGTGGCCGGGAGCCACATCGACGACAAGCAGCTCTATTTACACTGCTCCTTAGTCAGATCGCCGGCGGTGACACATCGGAGCTGATTCCGTTGCGAGTACTCGGCGTCGGAAGTCGAAGTTGCTCGATTCCTCAACTTGCCTCCCGCCTTGGGGTGCTCTACCAGCCTGCCAAAACGCCCACCCGACGCTTGTCGTCATTGCTTCCGACCAGGAGCCGGCGATTCGGGCCATTTGACTATCGCGAGAAACGATCTATCAAGCGGCAGTCGTCCGCTCCTCAACAAACGAAGTTTCTGGTCGATACGAATGACGTTGGACAACAAACGCAAGGTCGACAGCTCTTGCCCGACAGCTCCCCTAGAGTCCCGGACACCCGAGGTTTCTCGTCTCATCAGAATATCTAGGAGAAGCCCTGTTACCGGAGATAATCGGCTCTCGAGGCGTCTCCTCATTGTTCCGCCTCGTTCCGGTCTAAAATGGCAAACTCGGCCTGACTGATAGTTTCCAACGAGGCAAGAACGTGTTGTTGGTTTTCCTCGTAGCATCCTGCAAACATCAAGGAAGGAGACAGAGTCCCTTTCCGCCGACGGAAAGGGCAGAATGTCCCGGCAAAGCGGTAATCCAACCTGTAGCAGTCGCTGGGCAGTAAACCGGTCAGGATGAAGAGTTTCAATCGAATGATTCTGTAATTGTGGCATCGGTCAGTTGACGGACGTGCGTGCTACGACGTGAATCAAGCGTGCTGAGCCGGACACGATCGGTGAGAGCGGAGGATTCGCCGCCGCCGTTGCGACCATTGACGATGGCTCCATCGATGGTGCATCCGCCGGCCGTACACGACCCTCATCGAGGATGCTTCGATTCCGAGTGTTCTCCGAACAGAGAATCCCGCAGGAAACCGCCGGAAAACGAGTGCAGTGGATTCAGATACTCCCGGAACTCGTCGGCCAAATTCAAACAGCTACCAACGACATTGGAGCAGCCGAACGAGCTCAACTTGCGAGCGCCTGTCATGCGAACTGTGAGACGAGCCGTGAACTTGCTCAAAAAGACGCTCACGGATTCCCTAACGACGGTCGGGAGCTACACGTCGAGCACGGAATCGTTGCAGGACGTCGTGCTCAGGGCAACAGCCGCCGCCAAATCCAATCCAAAGAGTCTGACGAATTCCTATGCCATTTCAAGAGTCCACAATGCCTCAGGAACCAAGGTAGGCCACCAAGGGTTATCCTGAGCTATTATCTCCTCAATGTCCTGGTTTATTCACTGTATCGCTCCGGATTCTTAGATCTAGTCCGTTGTCCGAGCACAACCCGTCGTGCCCGACCTAGTTGACTCTGATGAGGGGAGTACTCGAGAGTCGGGAGGCTTGACGACAATCTGAGCTCCGAAGAGCCGGGCCCAAAGTTTCGGCGAGCGGCTCTGCCGAAGTTGAGAAAATTCAGACGGAATTCGATTATGGCACCCTCTCTCCGCGTCCCTCGGCAGAGGCACGGTGTCGTCCGTAAAAGCGTTTTCTGAGCTTCTTTGCGCGCGCGCTTCCTGTCTCATGGTCGATAAGGACAACCGTCGGCGGGTCCGTCGATACACCGTTTGATCGGACGGTCGGTCGGGCGGGCGGTTTGCCTGTAAGCCTGTCTGTCTTTCTGACCGCCAGGTCATTCGTCGGTCAGTCAAGTCGTGTTCTCAAATGCTTCTGGTTTCCTCAAATGCCGCCTTGCTTGGTTGTGCCCGTTCTCGTTAGGTCAAGCATTCCTATGGAGAGCGTTCACGCGCCATCTGACAGAGAAACATTTTTCCTCCGGCCACGCGAGCGCTGCGAGATATCCGCTCGGCCGGAAATGAGGATTGTCGTTCGCTCTTCAGGCATCGCGTCTGTAAAGCCTATCGTGAAATCTCTCTTAGAGTTTGTCGGTCTGCCTGTCTCTTTCGTTCGGAAATTCTGGAGAAGAACGAAAACAAGTGAACCAAGCACTGGATACAGCTGGAAGCACCAGGCAGAGAAGATCTCTGCATTACGATAGAATGACCTTGAATTTCGCTTGGAGCCAATTCAAGATATTTTGGAGATGAGCACTGCGGGTTCAGGCAGATAAAATCGACTGTTCAGTCAGCCGATCGGTTGTTTGGTCAACCAGTCAGTCAGTCAGAAAGACAGTCAGTTGTCTGGATGATCAGCGATACTTTGATGGTCGCTCAAGCACACCGTGACGTTCTACAGGCTGCAATAAACCAGAAGAAGAGTATCTGCGCTGGATACGGTCGCGATGGCCTACGATCGTCCCGAAAACGACGACGGCGTCGACGAAAAAAAATCCCATCGCGAGAGCCGCGATGCTGTCGAGCGGTATTATCAGTTGAAATGTCTATATTTTTTTCCTCTCCGCTTGTCGAATGTACGCAACACCCTGGCTCCTCTGGAGTGCGCTCTGGCGTTTGCGCAATCGTTGTTCGCGCGACTCCCTCCAATCAATGCGCACGAACCTGCTCGCCGAAACCGTCCTTACATCGATGGATGCAGACACAAGTTCTTGTCCGGTCACGGATACAGAGGAAATCTTTTTTTTTCTCCAAAACATTCCGCTGCTCCATCTGAGAGGGGGATATGGTTTTTCTGCTCTGAACAAGCGAAGAAATGCAATGGTGGAGGTCATTTCGAAAGTCAACGATCTGAATCTTAACCTCGATCGATCAGCGTGAATCCAACGGATTCCGATTCTGGGAGTCGAAATTGACAAGTCGAGGTGGAACGTCCAACGGAATAAGTCGGCTTCGTGCTGCGCCGGAATTCCGACTGTGGAAGAGAATGTTTCCTTGAGGAATGGAAACAATGTGTGCTCCATGAAGAAGGAAAAATAATGACGTCATTTCCGTCTCGGACTGGCGACTGATCCTGAATGGTGACTCCATCTTCTGAAGGGGAAGGGGATTGCCAGCGCCGTTGTGGTCACTGGATACGATTCGCCGTTAAGATTTGTTTGATGCGTATATTGCGTGAGCGAAACTTGCGATCGTCAGGCCTCGCGATCCCCCTGTCGAAAGGGAACCAAGGGACGCAGGAAAGGAGATCTCGGTAGCCAACTATGTGAAATTCGAGCGCGAGATGGGGGGTAGGAGGTCCTTGCAACGCGAAACCGGTCGCAGCGAACTTATTCTGCGTGGAGTGGAGCTCGTGACAGATTTCTGGATCGGTATTGTTCCCGGCGTCGAAGATCGCAGCCGAGAAGATGCCGCTCGACGAAAGCGTCGCTCGCGCGAGCGTCATCATCGACTCGCTTCAGTTGGAAGCGTATGTTAAATCCTCTGTGACGTCAATGCGTCGAATCGCTACCGGATTGAGCCGCAATCGCTGATAAGAACACCTGATCGTGATACAGATGATCTATTCATTCGAATGTATCGCGAATTATGTTCCTCTCCAGTCGGCTGGTCGGTCGACAGATCGGTCTCGAATTTCGACGCGGAGACACGCGCTCCCGACAGAAATCCGAGCACAAGTGATAGCGGGAAATGTTTTCGACGGGGTCCTTGCAGACGCCGCGGAAAAAAATGAGTGGGAAAAATGAAATTGTGCGCCTGCACCCGGCAGAGGGTTGGTAAGCTGGCGCGCTCGCTGCGCTTTGACCTTGGATGCGTGAACAATTTCTGCCGCTTCTCTCCTTTTCTCTAGTAATGTTAATCAGCTCGGTCGATGCTTTTATTCTGGGCGTACCTTTCTTTTTTTCTCATTATGATGCGTCCGCCGCGCCGCACTATAACGCAAGATTTGCTCCTGCCGGAACCAGTCATGCACGGAAATATTGATTTTATTTCATCATTTGTTCTAAAAGCTCTTTGCGTATCTCCGTAGCGACTCCGAGCTCTCTGTAAATGCCGTGAAGAGGTCGACGGACATGTGTAGGCCATTACGAAAATTGCGACGGGGAGCCATGAGGCGAGCAATGGAAATGACGGAAAGAAATTCCATATCCAATGGGATGGAGCGACGCTAGAATGTCTGGCGGAAGTCGTTTAGCCTTTGGGCTTCGGCTCAGAGGGGGGCAGATGCTAATTCCGATTGGACTGGGGATCCGTCCAGGACCCTCTTCCCCCTCCCTCGCGCCGCCCGGAGCCGCCGAGCGTACTACGAAGGGAAATCGGTTGAACGCGTAGACATGAAAGTCGATATCTTTTCGCAGACAACGAGTTCTTGAGTCTAGATCGACTTCGCGAACTAGAAAAGTTCAATGAAGGAGCAGCGGCGAATTATTTCGCAGCGCTTCGATTATTCGGGTGACAAAGCGAAACCTTGGAAGCGTTTTGACTGATGAACGCTTCCTCATGTCGACGCAGCTTGAGGATCCCAGAGGCATCGAACCGAGAAAAACGAGTTTACCGATGCAGTCTGCTCATTTCCTTTTCCCACATCGAGACTATCATTCTTCGAGCCCGATCTCCGGAACGCACATCATCATTTACGGCGGGACAAGAATTATATGTATAAAAAATTGCTTCAGCGAACTACTACTCCAGCCGAGTCCGAGGAAAATTCTTTGGAGATCTAACGTGAATTATTCTTCCCGTTTACAGCTGGCATCATCCGAGTCTTCTATTTGTGATAGGATCGATATCGAGGATCTGGGTGTCGACGAGACCCTTCTGTTTGTCAAGTTTTTCAGGTGAGTCGGGAGTTCGCGTTCTTGATTCGTTTATTTCTGGAGGAACGGAGTTCTCCGAGTCTCTGCCGAGTTCTCCGCTCAGGGCTCTGTCGTGAATCAGGAGCGCGGTCTGAATTTCCATCATTGATTCATCCGACGTTCCAGCATGCTAAGGGAGTTCTTTCCCACAGGTACTATTATTGCTACGATCTCATCCCACTTAGCGCAAAACTGGTCGTTTTCGATTCACAACTGCTTGTGAAAAAAGCATTTTTCGCGCTGGTCTCCAACGGGGTGCGTGCAGCCCCGCTTTGGGACTCAGCGCAGCAGAGCTTCGTTGGAATGCTGACGATCACCGACTTCATCCACATTCTGAGGAAGTACCACAAAAGCCCCGCCGTTCGGATGGACGAGTTGGAGGAACACAAAATCGACACCTGGCGGAGTAAGTTCCCTCCATTGATATCGATTCATCCCTCCATCGATGTCGATATTGATAGCGAGCCATCGGGGCGGCCTCTTGACGGCATCCCGATCTGATCAATTTCGGGGAGAATTCATGAGATTAGAGAGAGACGGCGCATCTAGGGCGAGTCGTTGAAGAGACACTTACTATCAGGCTCCGGAAATATTGTGGAGCAGGTCGCCGGTTGGTGTCCACGCACTCGAGTTGAGGATTCGCTAATTGAGGAGAGAACGGAGAAAACACGATTTCCTTATCGCTCAGAACGTGGCGCGGAGCACGGGGCGAAGCGTTCCCCGTGATGTAGGCGATACTTGGTTAGATCTCTAAGCTTTACAGCAGCGTCGTAAAATAATTTTTACGGCACAGTCCGTAGAAGAGCGTCCTCACGCTCATTCGAGCATTCAGAGAAGCGTACTACGTAGATTGCCGGTCATTGTTTCTCCGTTCACACTTCCGAACTACGCTTCCTTTGTCGGAGGGAAGCTTCTCCATCGTGATACATTTCCGGAACAGTCTCCATCCTTAGAACAGCTGGTCCCCTCATGGGCGAAGCGACATTTTCTCCCGACTTGGGGGATCGAATATTTGAGAGACAAAGCACGGCGAGTCGAAGTCGATGCTTCGCCAAGCGAGTTGTTACTTCCAGCCGCGGGTTAATTACGCCTGAGAGCACAAGCCTAAACATACTTTCTTTTTCCAGCTGTTCTGACGGACATGCAGCGACCCCTGGTGTCCATCGGGCCAGACGCATCGTTGTGTGACGCAATAACTACGTTGATTCACTCGAAAGTCCACAGGCTACCGGTCATAGATCCTCAAACCGGAAACGTGCTCTACGTTCTCACGCACAAACGTATCCTCCGCTTTCTCTTTCTATACGTGAGTGGACTTTCGAATGCGAAGACGCGCAGGCTGTAGCTCGATAATATCCGCCAGAAGGGAATGACCATTCCGATGATAGCAACACAGAGACGGGACGATTGATATGTGTCGGGAGTATATGAATGGAAGATATGACGACGTTCTACATGACGATTGTTGTTGCAGTTTTACGATTTGCCACATGCGTCGTATCTCGACACGAGCATCAGGGAACTCAAAGTCGGAACGTTCGACAATATTGCCACTGTAAGCTCCGATATATTTATGATGATTGTCGTCAACCTGAAACGTCGAGCTCTCGATCGAGGATGGGCGCTCGGTGAAGAGATCCTGACTTCATTTGTTCCCTCCGCAGTGCAGCCCTGGTACCCCGTTGATCACGGCTCTAAACATGTTTATCGAACGCCGAGTTTCGGCTCTACCCGTAGTTGATGAAGACGACAAGGTCGTTGATATATATGCCAAGTTTGACGTCATAGTAAGTGTACCTCCTGTCTGATGTGTATTCTCGGAGGGAATTCTTGCTGAAGTACAGAAAGCACGATTCCCGAGGCAAGGGAGCATGCGACCAAATAAGAGACAAGAATCAGCGTGGCCTTAATCGGGGATTTTTCTTGCAGAATCTGGCTGCGGAAAAGACGTACAACAACCTCGACATGAGTGTCGGCAAAGCGCTCGAATTCCGCAACCAGTATTTTGAAGGAGTGATGACATGTCAAGCGAATGATTCGCTTCTACAGGTGATGGAGAAAATCGTCAAAGCCGAGGTTCACCGCCTCGTCATTGTCGATGAGGATGATCACGTCGATGGAATCGTTTCCTTATCTGACATTCTTACATTCCTTGTGTTGACGCCGCTTGGTGAGTACTCTGATTCCGTCCCGGGATCTCTCTACGAGCCAATATGCTGATCCCGTATCCGCCGGAGCATCGCCTGTTCGAAAATCCACTTGAAACCCGAGAACTCCTGACTCCTCTGGATCGTTTCCTGAAAGACTGAACCCTTGGTCTCCCACAGGGATCGAAAGACCTGCGTCACGTGCCTACTACACCCGAACGACTTCATCGGACAGAGAGAACGGAACTGTCGAGGAAGAACCGGAATTGGAAGCGAAGGCAAACGCTCACGGCGAGCAGGCAGTCGAAACAGAACGAGAACGTCAACGGCACGACAGTCTCGATAGTCAGAGAACTGTCTCTGAAGGCAGCAAAGGCAAATTAGGGTAAGTTCCGTCGTCTCCCTTTCTCCCGAGCGTTTTCTACTCTACATAATATTTACATATATATGTTGAGTCGTGTGCTGCCCTTTTACGGAGCTGGACCCCGACTGGCTGGCTCTGACTGGACTCGTCGGAGGCTATTCAGGTATTCCTTCGCAAGATCAGGACTCCTCGGCATAACCATGGAATCCTGATTTTTCCCAGGTCAAGGAACAATTCGGAAGCAGGCGTCCCGGAAGAAGATGAAGAAGAGAATGTCCAAAAGGAGGACGCATCACCTGCGACAGCCGATGATTCGCCTGAAAGCGAGACAACAGACGCCTCAAAGAGCTTGGACGCATAACTATCTTGGCTCAACGCACCAGAAGAGCTGACCGTCTGAACGATCTACCAATAGACCGCTTCAGACTTCCTCAAGGATTGCCCGGGCACACGACAAGAGGACAACGAGAAGATGGGCTATAAGATGAGGATCACGTTTCACTCCGAATCATAACCTCTCGACACAAAACCAGATTCAAAAACACAACTCAAGTTTTCGTCCACCTTCGTCTGGATACGTCTAAGGGAAGAACTCGGTGGAGTGATGCCGACTTCAAGGATGGACTGCCCTTATCGGCGGAACGGAATACTGAATAGAAGTGTGTGGATCGAATTCGGCAATTTCCAAGATAGACAAGGTGCATCGACTTTGATTCGTATCCGATTCTACCCTCTGTGCCGTATAATCACCCGGGCTCCGTCGATGGGAGATTCTCCTCGAGATTTTTGGTCACCTTGGCCGAGGGCCTACAGTGCGGACGAGGACGAACGGAACAGGGATCGACGACGCAGGGAGCGGTGGATTCCTCCCTCGGTACTGGATATTTTTACTATTCGATAAATTGATCCTTTTGTTCGATGCTGTGAGACTATTTACATGAGAGCATGTTATGGAGAACATTCAGCAAGAGGAACCGCTGTCCGAGTCTGACGCGGTAGATCACGCGGAAGCTGATGATAAATATTGTTGGCTCAATGTTTTTCCCCCAATGAGAACAATGAAAACAGATTGAATACATGAAGTCATGGCTGTGTACTATATTCGTAATGTAAGAGCTATTGAACGTCCACCGTGAGTTCTCTCCTTAAGCAGGGAATACAACCCTCGGCAGGTCTAGGTCAACAAGGATGAGAGGGCGGGCAGTGTTCCTCGCTTGCCTCGAAAGGCAACACTTCATGGAATCATAATCAGATTTTCGAGCCGGTCTAGCCTAGAGAATAAGTTCCCTCCTCTCCACGTATTGATCGCACAAAAACGGTATTCTCTCGCGAATCTGGAGGACGCGATCGGGCCTTAGCGTTGAAGATTGAATGAATCGCGGATGAATCGAGGTCACAGACAAAGACTAGATTCGATGTGCGGTAGACCGATTCGAGTCAGGCTCTGAAGGAACAAAGAGCAGCCTCAGAGCCAAGAGTGATAAGATTCATATGATGAGTCTGGCTCGGAGACTTCGTTCCCCCGGGAGCCGTAGAAAAGCTCTCTTCCGCCTGAACTGGATGACACGAGAGGCCTTATCAGGTTTTGGGGGACTTGAGCGCCAAAAGGCGTTGGAAATTCCATTTCCTAGTCGCGGGGGCATTTAAAATCCACGTGTGCAGCCAATTTTGGGACCCCGCTGTTCGATATGTCGGGGCCGTTTTTTTTCTAGTGACTAGCTCGACATCGGGAAATCTTCTTTTTGGGAGGGATTCGACGTTCTTCTGATATCTCGAAGAAGAATTTCAATCGCGAGCCTCGATGGGAGAGAGGGAGGAAAGTGATTTGCCGGTAAGGACTTCGTATTCGGCCAAGGTGCCGAACAGTTTGTCATTCTCACCATCGTCCACACGAAATCGACGCCGGAGAGCGTCCGTCTGCAGCTTCGCGGAATGAGGCGGGGAAATACTCTGAGCCGGTTACCAGAGCAGCTTAGATGCTTAGATAGAAGTTGTGAAGCCGACATCTTTCGGGATTGTACATTCATCGACACGAGGGTCTGAAATCTCCAATCGGGTCGAGATTCGTTCCTCGTACAGTGGGCAAGTCGATGGAGTTCCCGCGACACAGCACCTGATCACACTGGCGTATACAGTTTTCGTCTCATGAAGTTGAAAGGAAAGTGCTGAGACCCCGCGAAGAGGAAATCGTTTCTCCTCCTCTTCTGCTTATCGGCGAGTGGCATGCCGACGAAAACTCCGTGCTCATCATCGATCTCGAAGAATCAATCCATCTCGCTTCCTTCTCGCTCCTCCCGGAAAAGCTCGCTAGGCTTTACGACATGACTCGACACATGGGCTTCCAGAGCAGTGTTCTGACACCCTCTCAATGCTCAGAATTTCCTTCCTTCCACCCCAACCCCTTCTGGGCTTCTAGGATTTCCTCTCCTCCCTGACCGGACCTCCGCCCCAGACAGGCGATCAGAATAGCGAACCGTGATCCAGATTGTCGACTATCGCATTTCAGTTAGACCGCAGCTCCTGGAGCGCTTCTGTGAGGCGCCCGTTTGTGGCTCCGTGAATATTAGAGCTTCCGGAAGTGACGGTCTCTCTCGATTTCCACTCCGCGGGAAGATTCTTGCACAGGAGCCCGGCCCTCACCATGCTCGGATGAGGGAAGATGTTGAGATGCTGCCGCGTGCGGACGGAGCTCACCGGTGTGACGTTCAGCAGATAGCTCGGATGGCACCTCACTTTTAGAGGAGGATATAAATACCGATCTATGTATGTACATGATTAATGAGAGGGCTGAGAAAATACATGGCCACCGTGGCAGCACGTCAGCAATGCAAAAGAGGTGCAGACAGAGGGAATCATTCACTATTTACAATTAGTGGAAGATATTGAGGAGATCCATGCTGGAATAATGTCGAATAAAAAACTGCGACACCTTGCTACGACTCTCCTTACTCAGGCGGCGCGAGATAGTTTTTCAGGAAACCCGATTAGGTACCTCCGATTTTCCCGGGTTTAGCGGAGGTGTCATCCTCGTTCGCTGCGACAGGTTGGAGACTTCTTACGGGGAGTTCCGATACCCGGTCGCATCACTAGGGTAGGGACGCAGGTTTCTGGCCAAGCAGCGGCCCATCTCCTGCTCGTCACTCGTGACAAATGGGCAATGACAAAACGGGTATCGCGTGACCGAAGTTTTGACGAACATCCTTTCCGCTTGACTTGTGCGCACGAATGCAGTGGCTATCAAGCACGGTGGCGAAGAATCGAGCTGACTCGAGCCAGAGACTTCTCCAAATGTAAACAATGTTACTCGAGAAGATGAAGAATGGCGGCAATCAGGAGTGAGTGAATGGGGAAGCGAGCGAAGCAGGCGAGAACCGGCGAATCGACCGCGCATGCCACCCGGGAAAACGATCAAACGATTTTCGAGTAGGGGTTCAGACCGAGATCGTCATGCAGCGGTCCAGTCGCCGCGCCACGGCGACCTGCACGTCTGTTTGGGTGCTGCGAGTGGGCAAGCGTGCCAGCGAGAGACTTTTGTCTCCGGTGCTTGCAGTTCTCCGAGCCTGAGCGCGCAACAAAGAGCTCAGCGCGCTGGCCTGCAAACTTGAACGCCGCCACACGAACGCCGCGCTGGCCTCGCCAACGGCAGCGAAGTCTCAGAAAGCAAGGGTGGCGGTGTCGACTGGTGAGTGACCGACCGACCAAGCGACCAAGGGACCGACGGACGGACGACCACACGTGCTTACTCTGATAACGGTATCCTCGACCGAGCACCGCAGGATACGGCTGTTCACGTCGTCGGGTAACGAAGAAAGCCGACTTTGTGCCTGTGCCGAAAATCTCCAGTCGTGCTCTGAAATAGACGCGCGGTGACCGGAGGATTTGAGCGGACGGTTGTCTCGGAGTTCACTGCTCTGAGACATTGAAGAGCTCTGTGTGGCCGACTGACCCAGTGTTCGGGTAGTTTAGTCCGCCAAACACCTCGGTGCTACTTGTTACCAACGAATTCTCGGTATGTTGGAACCCTTTCACCGTGTCAATGTTGATTATTCTAGAATGTATTGATGAACAAAGTCACTTGAGAAGATACCTAAGCGTGGCTGAGGAAGTTCTTCTGTCGCGCCTGTAACCTGTCGACTGCCTGAACTTGTGGTGAAATCATCTTACCTACGTCAAAGAGTACCGCATACACTCACAACAGCAGACTCCGCGCGTGACAACGGTGGATTGCACGCATGCCTTAAATCTCCGCGCGAAGGTTCCCACATTCGGAAGCGATCCCTGTCTCCTCCGGATGGAGAAAGAAACCGAGAGCGCATCTCCTCGCCGCCACTTTTCAGGCTCCTGAAGCCCGTAATTTCCTGACGTTCAATCTCGACGTTCACTCCCACTCCGCACTCCCATCATCGATAGTCGTGCCCGATGATTCACTCTGTCGTGGTGCTTACGGTGCGGTATTCAGGCTCTTATGCGGTCTCTAATGGCTCAAATGAGAGATTTCGGGTGACCGGTGCGAAAGAGAGTTCTCTCGAATCTCTTCGTCTTCAAACGATTCGCGAAACATCTTCAAGGCTTTTCGCAAAGTGGGCGGCAGAGACGGCTCGAATCTGCGAGGAATCTCTTATTGACGGGATGATCTTCGTATCTCAAGATTTCCTAGTTTTTCGATCAATCGACGTCCATTTTTTAGTCCCAGCTCCTCGGGGTCGGAATGCCTAAAAAACATGAGACAGCATAGATGGCTACCACTGGCCACAGAAACCGTAGACCGTTTCGCGGAACTCCCTTTCTTGGAGCTCTGCATAAAGATCAGGCGAGGACTGGTAGGCTTGACCCGGGAAAAATTTCCGATGAGGGAGACGCGAATCACGAGGCTGGAACCTAAAACTCAGGCCCCGAATCTGTAAAAGAGCTCAAATACTGCGGGTCTCCGAGGTCGCCTGAAGCTTTGATCCGTCAACAAGGCCGGAAAACTCAGTCTTTGGGAATCGGTGAACTCTTGTAGTGAACGTGCCATGGGCTTGCATGAGCCTCACCTGAGACAGAGCTGGCTTGAAGCCTCTGACTCTCCTGGACGCGACGTTTGGTACATGAGATTTATCTCCGTATCTGATATGAAGAGCCTCCGGTGACTGATATGCTTATTTTTTAGCGCCAAACGATGGCTGCATGACTCGGACCTCCTTGGAGTGATTCAGCTCGCAGTACTTTTGAAACTTGATCTCATAAATCGGAGAGTTTTTCCTCGAATCGAGGCACGCGCCTCCTTGAGGCACGATTCTCTCGATTCTCGCCACAAATAAGGCGGGCGGTACTGGCGAATTTATGAGTTTCTGGCTTTGTTTGTCAATTTTTAAAACCTGAAAAGAATCGATTCTCGAAGGACGTATGAGGAGAATTTCAATGGTGAGCATCAAAGAGTACGGAACGCGTTTCACTCAGTCGAAGAGCTTGAACGTCTTCCAATAGACTCATCCAGCTGTCAACGCTAGCCCTTGGGCTATGTATAGCGAAAGTCCGCTCAATAGAGTGCCATCAATTGCTCTTGATTGATCTCACATGAAAAGTCGGAGCGCTCCGTCTCCCAGTCGATTTCCAAGTGTAGAAACCATTGGGTACTGAAAAAAGAGCGTTGAGTGTTGAATAAGTAATCGAGTCAAAAGTGGAATGTCTTCTACATATATGTATATGTATCTTCGTCCACACCGAGTCTCTATAAGGAATTCCTTCAGCCTGAAAGCAAGGGATACTGCGGGCAAACTGAGAATATCGGTCATTTGCTCCCTCTAGAGCTCGTATATGATATATTCGCTCGTAATTTCGGTGGATAAAAGGATTCCCCTTCGGTATCGATTGCGGACTGGCATGCTATAGAGAGAAGAGAGGGCGAGCACCGGCACGCGCCCCATATCGTCCAAGCTCCACATGATCTCTTCGACCGAGCGTCTGCTTCTGAAGTTTTCCTCTTATAGTCCCGAATGCGGAAACGCATGCTCCTTGTGATAGCGAAGTATTCGAGAGTCTCTCCAGGGGCATGTCATGGGGGAAGCGAGGGGCCATGGCTCCCTCCAGTATCTCTCTCCGGCC